AAAAAAAAAAAAAAAAAAAAAAAAAAAAGACATTCCAAATGATATGTTCCAAAAAACCTAACATTTGGGACTGGACCAAACCGTACATATAAAACCACTTGATCAGTTTAGACTTGTAATTAAAATAAATCTTGACCTTGAATGGATCTTCTAAAGTTAACAATTAATGCATGATTAATTGACACACCTAATTTCTTACCATCTTTTCTTTTTTGGTTATTTAAGTTTTGAAAAAAAGGAGGATATAAATGGTTGCTTCGGGAGGCCGGATCGGGTAAAGGATGGAGTTCTCAACGAATTTTTGGATACTCTGTAGATCGCTAAATGGAAATGGTTGAACATCGGTTGTAGCAAATGCCCTCCTTTTGTCGTATGTTATCTCGATTTTTTTATTGTTATTTTTTTGTTTTGGTTGTAATAAAGACGACGTGTGCTCACCCTTTAACGGACCCTAATAAGTTATTTACCGATGGTATGAGTTGTTTGGTCTAGTTAGAGTTTTCTCTATGCCAAGTTGTTGATATCCCCTCTCCGTGGGGTTGATTCAGGTCGACTGGGTTAACCCATCGACTGTTTGTGACTTTGAACAAGTTTTGGTTATGCTCTATTTTGTTGTGTCAAGTGAGTCTTTCTCCATTAAGTCTCGGTACCTTTTTTCGCTCTTGTACTATGATATCCTCACTGGATCAGATGGAGTCTTTGGTTCGGGGTGAATCTCCTTTGTAATTGGAACTAATTGTATCTTGTGCACTTTCAAAATAAACAACAAAAATAAAGTTATTACAAATTCCAATTCTTATATGCAAGTTCTCAGACTACAAGAAAACCACAAGCACGATAAACAATTGATTCTACGAGTAAACTTAAATGAAATGCTTAAGGGGAATAAACGTGTATATGAGTTTCAAAATCGGACATCAAAATAGGTACACCGACGATCAATACAATTAGATGGAAAAACCCGATTGAGTATTCACTCTCAACCTCTGTACTCCCGGCCTTTCTCAAAAAGCCTAATAACAATTTATCTGATAATTATTTATGAAATTGTGTTTATTGATGATCAAGATGTACATTTGGATGACAATTGATCATATGCATATTTAAGCATGTAAAAACTTTTCTTTTCTTTCATTATTATTATTATTATTATTATTATTATTAATTGTAATTCACCCATTAGTCAATAAATTCAAGCACAAAATTTGACAAGAGTACAATCCATTATGCCCGTACGTATAAATATTAAACGGTATATGTTTTTCCAGAGCATCGACCACATGCTAAGACTGACATTCATTTCCAACATCATCAAAACACTCCCTCCTTGTTGAAGTACTTTCACTTGTTGAGAGTGTTACAACAAGCTAACAGTCCACATATCCTGCAATTACTCATTGGCAAACATCCATATCAACAATCTTTGGCCGTCGTTTTGACTTGCCCTTTCCAACCACAGTAGAAGCATTGTCTTTGGCGAGCTGAGATCTTTCGAGCTCCATGGAAGATGTTTTCCCATCATGCTTGTTTCTAGCATCATGTTCATCACAACCGTTGCCATCGTGGTCGTCATCCTCATCACTGCTATCTTCTGATTCCGCGTCGCTGCTGCTAATTGCCAACGGAATCACTGGCTGATAACCAGCAATCGCAGATTCAGCAGCAGCCACAGCCTCGGGTGTGTGAAGATCAGCAATGCCCAGCATCAAGTCCTGCAAAATTGAAATATGCCAAGAAAATCAACCGTTTGTCTCTTTAAATTCATTGACCACAACAGCAGAGAAACAGAGAAGTACCATTTCAATGACTTGAGATTCATTTCCAGTAAGCGCTTCGATATCAAACTTTTCAGAATTGTCCTGTTAGCACACGAATAAATACGGAGAACGTTCCAATCGTCAAAATTCTAGAGAATTAGTAAGCAAACCTTTGCATCAAGCTGCAGCCTTGCATTAGCTTCTAATATGACTCCCAAAAAGTCTTTTACTTTGCCCAAAACTGCAGAAAATGCTAATAAATTAAACAAATATGTAATAGAGAAGGGTTTTGACTCATCAAATACTCATTTACAACTTACAGGCATAATACGAGCAATTTCATGAGAACAAAAAAAAGAAAAAAACCTTAATTCTACAACCTCATGGACCCACCCAAACGAGTAATCGCAGTATAAACGACATCATATATCTGTTTGATTTCTTAAAATTGTGAGAAAGATTGGAAGAAAGAAGAGGAGACTTGAATCACATCCTAAAGAAGAGGAGACTTGAATAACATCCTTTTCCCGCAAAAACTTCAACCAAGAAAATTGCAAACAATACAAGAATAAAGGGACATTTATCAGAAAAAATAGAGCACAGACATCACATTACACCAACAAAAAATATAAGACCAAAAAGGATATATTTGTCAGACAAAAAAAAAAAATAGAACATGGGCATCACATCAACCAAGAAAATTGCAAATAATATAAGAACAAAATTAGGAAATATTTATCAGGAAAAAAAAATATAGAACAGAGAGTTTTCAGGGATCATCATAAAGATGTGTACAAACTATAAACATCACCAAAACTAAAGGCACAAAAACGGGTGAAAACCAAAACCAACATACAAAGCAAAGTCAGAATATTGCAATTAAAAAATCCCAGCAACAATTTCCGGAACCAATGTATAAACAAAAATCTGTGATAACACATTAGCATAAACCACCTAACTAGAAACAAAACTTATGAAATAATAAAATACAAGAAATAAAGAAAATAAAGTACCTTGGCTCTGAGGAACCGGAGCAGTGATGGGACTTCCAATTCCACCAGGCTTGGTTTTCTCTCTCTGAGATTTCAGTGAGTCATTTTTACAAACATTTAGTGTGGATTCTGTACAAACATGAGAAGCCAAATATGCTAAAAAAACATTACAAGACTGAAATTGATATAGAGATATTAAGAGGAAAAAAAAAGGTACCTAAAGATGAAAAGGAGAGTTTTTTGTGCTCTAGTTGTAGAAGGTCCTTGCTACTGCTTTCCATCTCTCTCTGGGTTTTAGCTAGGAATATGGAAAACCAATTTAACCAGACAATCTTAAACCCTACAGATTAGGCAAATGGGCTCATATTGTTCCTAGGCCCAAATTAACTTTAATCCCACCGAATATCCAAGTAGAAAAAATAAAAAATAATAAAAAGAAAAAAGAAAAAATTACTGAACTTATCCTCCATACTCTTAATTACAACTTTTTTTTAGAGCTGACTACAACCCTTTTAACTAATATAATTACTTAATTAAAAAGATATTAACTAATAATAATGAGTAAAAATTTAGATTCATGCATTCTAAGAATAAGAGAGTATTTGTCTCTTTTTTCTAAGTAAAAATCACACAACATAATACTTTTAGAAGGTTGGTTAAAAACATGAGTAATGCTAGGGACACAAATTTAAATTTCAACTCTTGTATATCACAACTCAAATTAGAGCTCAATCTTTTTTATATGAGAGAAAAACACTGTAACAAAAAAAATAAATTTAAATTTTTGTGAGAGAAAATATTGTAATTAAAAAATTTGAGTTGCGAAAAGAACAATCTTAAATATAGCAATGATATGAAATAATAATAATTATACTGATGGGATTTTTGCCCTTATGCTAAAAATAATATGTAATTTCATATATTGATGTTTATACTAATGGGACTTTTGCCCTTATGCAAAAAATAATATGTAATCCATACTAATAGGAAGGTGAGAGAGCCTTTTTTGGAGACGTTTTTATCGATTTTTATATATTTTCCGGCGTTGAGAGACTCAATCTTATTTGGTTGGTCTTTTGAGATCTTTATAGATATTTTGATGTTTTTATGAGTTTTTATTTTGTGATAATTAAGTTTTATTTATGGTTGTGTTGTAATGACAGTAATGATTTTCTTATCTATCGACGTTTTGTCTCAGTTAGAGGGTATTCTCTTCACCAATCTATGTATGTGGTGTGTCTCTCAGATAGAGAGTGATTTTCTTACCAATCTAATACTGAGTTGTGTGACTCATCTTGAATCGTTTCTACATGGCTAAACCTTATTCTACTTCCACTTTGTGGAGGAGTCCTCTCTATTTTTGTGATAAGGGTGCGTTTGTATTGTCTAATCATATAAGTTACTCATTTTTTTTTTTTAACTTTAGTGTTACCTTATACTCTAATCCTTTAATGACTCTTTAATGAATATATTTTATTACTGTTCAAAAAATGTAATTATAATAAGTATTCATATATTAATATGATAATATAATATTTAGGTCAACAATGTATCTCCATAATTTAGATAAAAAAAAGTACACGGTCTCCGCGTAGAAAACAAAATGGTGAAAATAATCCTTAAAATGTGGTCACTTTCCTTTTTTTTTAATAGATTTTTTTTTAAATGTAAAAAGGCTATTTCCGTTTTTGAATTTTGTAAAGAGATTACACTGTTGCACATTAAATTATTCAGTTTTTACATAATAGATTTGGAACTTTTAATTTTAACAAAATGTATTTTAAATTTTAAAATCAGTTATAATTAAGATTCAATAATCAATAATTTTATTAAATTGATAGTTTAAAAAAAAAATTTGTACGTGACATGATTTAAAAAATAAAAATTTTTACATTTTATTTGTGAATTACATATTTTAAACTGTTAATTTGATAACATTTATTATTTATTATATTTTAATTATAATTGATTTTAAAATTTAAGATGTAGTTTGTTAAAATTAAAAATTTAAGATGCATTATGGCATATATCACTTCACCGATTTGAATTTATAATTTGAGTTTTACTACAGTAAAAATCTCTCAGAAACAGTCACATCTAACTTTTTTGCTACAGTAAAAAACTCTCACATAAAGTCACATCTCAACTCAAATTAAAAACTCGAACCAGCGAACTAAACAGACCTATATGAAAACCGAAAAGTTTGAGATGCAACTGATCAATTGACCTTTTTTTAATAATAAAAAAATACATTTTTAGTCAAAAGACTTCAACATAAAGAACGTGTTGCCCAAGACTGAGAAGTACCATGCCATATATATATCCCGTTTAATTTTTCGCTGCTCTATTAAGCGATAATATTTGGCATCTGAAATTCTTTATCTGTGCTGGGAAAATCAGAAACCCTAATTGTCAGAGCAGGTTCTTCGTTCAATACTTTCGGTAATTGCATTCTTCCGTTGCTGTTATTGGTTCTATTTATTGTCAATTTGAGTTTCTTTTTCTTTTCCTTTCTTTTTTTTTTCTTGTTAATTTTGTTGTTGATGCGGTTGTTTTGACTTGCTTTATGCGATTTTACTATGCCTTTTATTTATTTATTTTGCTTCAATTATCAAAGAGATTTATTCTAAGTGTCAAAGTACAATGAAATTCGTTACCAAACAGTAAAATGTGCTATGAAATTACTTGACATGTTATGTTAATCTTTGGAGTCACATCAAAATTGTTTGAGCACTATGAAATTTGTGTGATTTTTTCTTTAAAAAATAATAATTAATTTTTTGTGAGTTTATAATTCTTCGTTGTAGATCATTCTCTGTGAATAATTTTTTTTTTTTTTTGGGTAATATTGCTGATCAAGCAGAAGAGAAGGGAAGGTTTTATTCTATATTATCTGTTTGGCTCCGGAGAAATGGAGCAAGAAAGGGCATAATGATTTTCTTTCTTTTCCTGCTTTATATCTGTTAATTATTTTTTTCCGCATCATTTTTTTCCAGTTTTCCTAATACTAAATGAACTTTTTTTTTGTTTATTTAATTTCAGTATGTGTTCTCAAATCAAGTCAATTTGGATTTCTATTATTATAATACGAGTAGTCCAATTGAAATAGGAAACCTTGAATCAGACTCATAGTTGTAAATAGAAATTTTGAGTTCTTCCAAATAAAAGTAAAAACCTGTAGTATGATTTCAACCGTTTAATTTCGTGTTTGTTAGTAAAGATGCTCAGTTCACTATTATGGTTTGTACTTTGTGCATTCTTGCAACCATTTTTAATTTGTTTGTTTATAGCATCCTCCTTTTAATATTTCTTCTTCAATTTACAACTTCTGCATACAAAAGTTTTTAATTAGGGGCGTTCGCGGATTGGATTTCACTGATTATGGGTCATATTTTTAGTATGTGATTTAGTTCTCGTATAAATGCATATTCATCTTTCGTTGTTCCTTGAGGTAGCACGTTGAATGGTTGGGCTCGATATCATATTTGAAACTTCTATAACCCACTGACGTTCAGTTAGTGAGAAATCTATGTTTGCCTTCATCTTCACTTGTCAATAATTTGTACCATTTTCTTTGATCTCTGCTCATTGTAGAATGTTAAAACATATTTAGTATTCGAACCTTTTTTCTGTGTCGGAGAGAGTTTTGGTAACTTCACCTAATTTTAATCCAAGCGTTTTAGTGGAGTTCATTAGAATGCCTTGTGGACATTATGTATAATTTTTCTGGTGCTTCTAGTTGAATTGTTATGCCAACATATCAATAATTTGTGCTTACTATGTTCATATGTTTGTTAATGAAAATTTATCTTTGTAACAGGCAGATCGACCATTTTCTCTCAAATATTCCAATGGCTGATTGTAGTGAGATGGATAAGTATATTGAGATATGGAGAATGAAGAAGTTGATCAAGACTCTTGAAGCTTCCAGAGGAAATGGAACTGGCATGATCTCTCTTATCATCTCTCCAAGTGATCAAATATCTCAACTAACTAAGTTGCTTGGAGACGAATACGGTAATGCTGCAAAAATCAAGAGTAGGGTGAATCGTCAATCTGTGTTGGCTGCAATCACGTCTGCGCGGCAGAGGCTGAAATTGTACAACGAGGTTCCTTCAAATGGACTAGCCATATACACTGGTACAGTTTTAACTGAAGATGGGAAGGAGAAGAAGGTCACTCATGAAATTGTACCTTTCAAGCCTATCAATACATCACTATATATTTGTGACGGAAGGTTCCACACAGAAGCTCTAAATGATCTCTTGGAATCTGATGACAAGTTTGGATTCATAATAATGGATGGTTCTGGATATCTTTTCGGGACATTAAGCGGCAATGCCAGGGAGGTGCTTCATAAATCCAATGTTGACCTTCCTAAGAAACATGGCAGAGGAGGTCAATCGGCACTGAGATTCAGTCGTCTTCGGGTGGAAAGCCGTCACAACTATGTCAAGAAGACAGCTGAAAAGGCAATTGAGTTATTTATCGATCGCAAAACCTGCAAGCCAAATGTTACTGGCCTTCTACTTGCTGGATCTGCCGACCTGAAGGCCGATCTTATGTGCTATGTTTGACCCCCGCCTGCGAGCTAAGATACTAAAGGTGGTGGATATTTCTAGTGGAGGGGAAACTGGTTTCAATCAGGCCATTGATTTGTCTTCTGAGATTCTTTCTAACGTAAAGTTCGTGAAAGAAAAGTGCTTGATCAATCACTTCTTCAGAGAGATTGAGCAGGACACTCAGAAGTATGTTTGTGGTGTGGATGATACACTGAAAATTCTGGAAGTGGGTGCAATTGAAAAACTCATTGTATGGGAGAAAAATCTAGACATAAATAGGTATGTGCTGAGAAATACTCTGACTAACGAGATTGTCATGAAGCACTTGAATAAGGATCAAGAAGCCGACCGGAGTAATTTCCAGGATATAGCCACTTTATCTTAATTGGAGACTCTGGAAAATATGTCTTTGCTCGAGTGGCTAGCCAACGAGCACATGCAGTTTGGTTGCTCGCTTGAGTTGGTCACTGATAGATCACAAGAAGGTTCAAAGTTCTGCAAAGGGTACGGTGGCATTGGCGGGATTCTCCGCTACCAGCTCGATATAAGATCCTTTGATGAACGTTTTCCAGATTCCGAGTAAGAAGGCTGCAGTCAGTATTGTTTCATCACTGAAGTAATAAGGTTGCTTTCTTGGTTGCTGAACTTTGTGCCTGTTTCTCTCAAAGGGTTATTTCTTTTCTTTCATAACAAGTCTTGATTCCTTGAATATTTTGCAAAATAGGGTGTCATGAAACCTTATCTGGTATCAAAACTATGAGATGTTATAAATGTTCAAGGTGA